ATGGAAGCCTTTCCGACACTACGGCGTGCCTGAGAAGATAGTTGACATCATAAGGAATTCTCATGATGGACCCAGCTGCAAAATCGTACACGAAGGAAATCTAACAGACTCTTTTTAGGTGAAGACCGGTTTCAGGCAAGGATGCTTACTCTCACCCTTTCTCTTTCTCCTGGTGATCGACTGGATTATGAAAACGTCGACGTCTGGAGGGAAGCACGGTATCAACTGGACAGTTAGGATGCAGCTGGAATTCCAAACAAATATCAATCAACAGTACAGTACAAATGTCAGGACAGTTCTACTGTATGGAGCGGAAACTTATAGAACTATGAAAGCCATCATCCACAAGATACAAGTATTTATGAACAGTTGTCCACGCAAAATACTTCGGATTCGTTGGCCAGACACCATCAACAACAACCTACTGTGAGAGAGAACAAACCAGACTCCAGTGGATTACGAAATCAGAAAGAAGAGGTGGAAGTGGATAGGACATACACTGCGAAAAGCACCCAACTGCTTCACAAGACAAGCCTTCACGTGGAACCCTCATGGTAAAAGGAAAAGAGGAAAGCCAAAGAACACATTACACCAAGAGAAAGAGAAAGATATGAGAAGAATGAAAAAAAATTGGAAGGAACTGGAAAAGGAAGTCCGGGACAGACTAGGTTGGAGAATAGTGGTCAGCTGCCCAAGCTCCATTAGGGGTCACTGGATTAAGAAAGTCAGTGAGTGGCTATACCCACATCCATTGGATACTACCAAAAACCTGAAACCGCAGTGAGTGAACAAGAGTCGAGCGCGAAGAAATCAGCTGCTTTATACTACCTCGTGAAAAAGAAATTGGTATGGTATTGGTAATTGGAAAAAGATATTGGATACTGAATAGTGCGCCGTATGTTATCACTCTGCTAAAGCCGCAAATTTAGAGTTTCTTTCTCAACTTTGTGGGATCTTAACTTTTTCGGTCAGTAAACCTGTAAGTTTTAAATTTGGGTCCTTTTATTCCATCAGTTGTTAGCCTATATTTTGCACTTGAATGAAGTTTTGACTTATGACCCCTTGCTATCTCCTCTTCGGTATCAAGTCAATCGCATACCATATCCTGAGTATTCTGTTGTTTACCATTAAGGATATATTGACTGAATAAGTTGTTTGAAAACTACTATCGGTTAATGACCATATTCTAAGGTTTTGGTCGTTTTTAGAAAATAAGATACATATTAATGCTCTATCCCATATACTCGGCTCGATGTGCGCATATGCGTCTTGCATCCAACAAATGCCTCGAAGGTTGAAAATGAGCTTTTACGAATTTGGGATTTTTATTCGACGAATTTCCGTTTTCCTCGGATCATATATTTTGGGCCAGACGTCTTTTATTATCACTAGACTCTTACCATATTTACAATTATGAGATTTCCCTTGGATATCCCCTCACAGTGCTAACGGGATGTTGAGATCCAAAACCAATACACACGTGTCATTATCCGTCATTTATTGCCGACTATTCAGGTACTCATATACAATAAACAAACAATAAGAATTCGCTAACTACATTCGGGCTTTGAAATTGGAGATGAGTTCTTTTCAGGCTTTCAAAACTGAATAATTGTCCCATAAGTCAGCCATTTAGGGAAATAATCACACTTAATCGGAGTATTAAGTTTTGATTTCCGCCTAAAATCCCTCGATTAGCTATTTTGCTAGTGGGGATTGTTTTTGTAATTCGTTTTTTAATAAACTTATTATAGCTCGAACATAGCTGCTATCTTGGCCTGGTAGTCAGGCTTGTCTGTCGTGGTGACCCGACCGAGCTATATTGGCTTGAACACTTGTCCCTTCGGGTCCTACCATGCAAGTCATGTCGGAAAGCAGCATCTGCCCTCATACCCCTAACAGTGCTCGAGATCAACTTGTTCACGATCAAATCCTTCCCTCACTTCTTGATAGCTGTCTTATCTCCACGACTAACCCTTCTCATATGCCTTTATCACCTAGCCCCGTCAATTCTAACGGTTCAAATACACGAAATGTTATTCTTGGTTTCCTGAGACCAAGCTCTAAACTACACGGAGCTTTTAATGTTCGAACTTTATACCATACAGCATATATTCCTTGGCTAGGATTAGAGTCTCGTTTTTTCGGTGCATGTACGTATCCCAAACGTGCATCTAGGATCCGAGTACATTCACTTCATCTCACTTTGTAAAAGTAAAGAACTGTGTGCGAAAACTTCACTGTTACTTCCGGCGATCCCGCTGGTGTTAGTATAGCATTAAGTTCCAAGACGAAACCGGCCTTTCTAGTCCGAATTCCAATTATAAGACACTTTTGTAGTGTCTGACTAAACCGGACAGTTAGAACTCTGCAATATGGGGATACACGCCGTTACTTCTTCGTTGTCTTTACTTCAAATTTGATCTTCAATGTGTTTTGAAACATCTAGTGGTTGCCGTTATTATCTCTTGACTTTTAAATCCTTGTTGATTTTGAACCATAGTTTACTTATTGTTCTCTAGTTAGTTTTCGTTTCGGCTGATTGCGCATGCCATCGGACTTCGTGTCCATCAGACTTGTTTTGAAGTACTGACTTCACACTCACCCACACGAAATGTAGTTTTGCCTTAGCACCAAGTTCTACAAAATTTTCTTCATGCAGAAACACATAAATCTAATTCGCTTAAAATAAGCTTGATGCCATGTAATGGTGATTTATGCTATACTTGTATTTCAGTTCGTTTCATAACAACTGGTTGTTCTTATGGTGTGGTTTAGAAATTCAGTACTCGTATAAATTGTTGAAGAAAGCAGAAAAACCATATTTTATTTAAAAAGTATTATCTTGGGTTTTTGAAAAAACTTTGAAATATCAAAGTCAAGTTGCTTGTTTCAGATATCCTTACTTACACCAATTTTCCTTATAGGATGACAAAGTACAACAATGACTTCAAGCGTTTGTTTAACTGGGTCATACCACATAGATAACTAAACAGGATTCTTGTAATATATGATGAATAATAATGGAATCACTTTGGAAATGAGTATAACGGAAACATTAGCATTACAATGAGTGTAAATTCTGTAGCTCGGTTTTTTAATGACCGTTTACGTTTGTGTATTTAATGACTCACTGGTTTCAGAATTCATTTTTCAACCAATGACTCGTATGCTAGAGATAGTCTGGAACTATTGAAGCTCAGGTAACCAGCTGATATTAGAAACCATTATCTAGATTCGGAGCTCTTAACCTAGCATGCGAAGCTGTGTATGATTAACTTTACCTTTTCTGTACCTATTTTTCAGTATTAAACTGTTATCGACATTAATATTAAGTCGAAAAATATGTAAGAAAACTAAACAATGCAAAATACGGTACAGTAATATATGTATTTTATTCTACCAAATGGTTTCAGGAGACCTTATGTTGCTGATTGTACTTGACAAGTTATGCGGCTTGACTGCTTTACATCAATGTTAAAGTTTGTATTAGTTAACGTAAAAACATGATAGAAAGCTACTTAAAAGGTATTATTTCTTCTATTGACCTGGTATTTCAACTCGATTCAGAAACTTGTGAGCTTCAATTCAGGCTTAGTAGTTATGAATTTCGAAGTTTGGAAGACTTTATTGTTGAACTAAAAGTTTTCACGTTCAAAATAAAATAACAAAACCTAACTCCTTCATCATAACTACTTGTGTAGTTATTTCAATTATCAGCTGGCTGCCAATGTTTTTATATTATTTGAAAGTTAACTACTAGTATCTACTACTACTTTCATCAACTTTTGGTATATTAGTAAAAATACTAACGGAATCTGAATATGTAACGATAACTTACCTTTTGCCTTCTAACATGTAGTTAAATTTAGTATTGCAAATGCTTACTATCTGCTTTCGTTAGTTTATCGCTTAATCTCAGTATAAATAAGGGATTATAAACAGGTGGATCGATGAAAAAACGTCAAGCCATTTTATGAAGAGATTATTATTTAGATTGAAGCCGTTTAGTTGGATCTTCGTCGACTTTTTAGTTTTTTATCTCTATTCACTGTATTTTGACTACTAACTGAATTTCCTTCCTTTCCATTCAATCATTTTCAATGTAGAACTTTCTACGTACGAACATCAGTTTAAGTTGCCATGGTATATTAGCACACAGATGGAACTGTCAATTCAAACCCCATAGTAGTAGAGGTAGTAACATTATTGGCGGTAATAGCAAAGATTAAGGGTGGAAGATATGCTTCGAGAAAAAAAAACCCTGTGAAATAAATTTAGGAAAAGAAAATATGATCATGAGGAATTCAGAAAACTGGCATTTGAGAGAAGGAAAAGAATGGACGCATCTATGCTGTTGCGAGCGATTTTGAGCCACATCATTCGTAGTTTCTGACCGCCAGTTACAATAGTCTCGCACACTCCAACCAGATAGTCTCCGCTTACCAATATGACTCAGTCCAGCTTTTCACTAGATTCATGTATTTGTGCCATATTTTGGTTGCCCGCTCCTAGCTTTCATTCAGCCTTCCCTTGCATCAGACAACATCGCGCATCGAGCATATGTGACACTTGTCCCAACCATCTTAACTGGTGAAAATTCACTAACTTGTCAATTGATTCGCCATCCTTACTTAGTATCCTATTCCTTAATCCATGCATTACTTAATGGTCACAAAAGACACGAGCCATGCTTCGAAAACACTGATAATCGAATGCTAGCAACCTACAGATATCTTCTACTCTTGGTGGCCATGTTTGACACTCGTATAGTAGGACGAAGAAAACTACTGCTCCATAAACGTTACCTTTGATTAGCAGACATAAATCAATATGTTTAGCAACATTTCAACGTACGAAACACATCAGTTTAATCAATCTTCATCAATTCATAACTAAACTAGCTCCAACCGCTTCATATTAATTTATAATTTATTACCCTTTAGAAATTTGTTAGTATAAATCTTTCTTTATAGCTAACACATAAATAACTTTATAACATGGATGAAATTTGTTCCACTCAACCTACTGATATGATAAATAATGATGTCATCAATAAACCAATGGATAAGGTATTCGTAATCTAATTCATTTATGTTTAATAAAATACTCAGCTTCCTATCTTAAGTGTTTATGAATCCGAAAAGAAAATTATAGAATATCCACTTGTGAAAAGTAAGTTTTCATTTTCATTAAAAATTATTTTTTTCTTTTCTTTAGAATATTTAACTATTGGGCGAGATCCAAAATGTGATATATGCATTAAATCTTCAGTGAGTAGATTTGCTTGAAAATCGTTTTGTTTTACATTAATTGCACTCACATCTGGTAAAGAAGTCGAAATAAATACAAACACACAAGAAAAACCAAACACAAATGATCAGGCACAATGTTAAAAAAAATCGCAAACTGAAAGTGGTTTTTAAAAGTTTGTTTTCTGATATACCTGAATTAGTTCACGTCATATTTAAAAGGATAAATTTATTTCCGTTTACTTTATATACATAAATACTGATTCAAACAAGCGCCCAGAAATTTATGCAACATACAAACTTTCGAACTAGTGAGTAGTAGTGAGCTGAGATACTGTTTGAGTGCCAAAAACAAAGTAGGTGGTTTTCTTAGAGAGCCATTCATCGAGCCTTTGAACCTAAAATCTAATCTACAAGGCAGTGGAACAACATTAGAAGATTTAGTCTCATGGTATGTGCTCATATGTCATTCACTGCTTCAGGTTCATGAAGCCGATGTGCAGCATTGGTTTTGAATTATTGTTTTCCAACTCACCTAGGTGGATCCTTCATACCCAGGAACTTGTTCCAAGCGCCAGATAATCACTTTTCATCCGCTCAATTTCTTAAAAAACACCCCAGTCAAACAGACAGTTACAACGTAGAACTTCGTACGTACGTACATCAGTTCAGGTTGCCATACCGCATTAGCACAGAGATGCAACTGTCAGTTCAAATCCAATAGTGGCAGCGATAGTAGAAGTATTAGCAATAATGGAGAAGATTAGTGTTCGAAAATATGATTCGAGAAGTAGTATTAAGTGAGACAACTTTAGAAAGAGAAACATAAAGGTGATAGGGAATTCAGATTAGAATTTTAGAGAACACAGAGAGTGAATAAATCTGCACCATTACAAACGGGTTTGAGCCATGTAATTCAAGGTCTCTAACCATCGATTACTGTTATCCCGCAGGCCCCAACAAGCTAGTAGACACCTACCAACACGACTCAATCCAGTTGTCAGTGACTTCATAGATTTGTGTTATCTTTTTGGTTTGGCCACCCCTAGCTTTCTTCCAACCTACTCCTACACCATCTTGTCGAGGCAGTCGGTGGATGGGCATACGTAACAAATGTCCCAACCACCTCAACTGATGCAGTTTCATTTCTTCATCTATTGACCTGCCGTCCTTACCTAGTACTCGCTTCCTAATGGCAGCATAGCTTACTCGGTTGTCCCACGATATACGAGCAATGCTTCAAAGATATCTATAATCGAATACTAATAACCTACTAATGTCCTCAACTCTTACCGGCCATGTTTCGCATTCATATGGCAGGACGGAGCGAACTGCTGCACAGTAGACTCGTTCTTTAGTTAGCAAACGGATATCTCGCTTGCACCACAAGCGACGGAAGTTGGCAAAAACCAATCGAGCCTTCTGTATCCGTGCTGAGATTTTGTCAGCCACCAGGCCATCAGCACTGATCTGACTCCCTAGATAAGTGAAGCGGTCAATACGTTTGACTACTTCACTCCCTATCACTAGTTCAGGTGCCGATGCAACCCAATCTTGGAGCAACAGTTTGCATTTCGTGGGGAAAAACCGCATCCCGAACATGCTTGCATTGTTGCTTAGGGTAGTCAGAAGACTGCATTTTGTCATCGTCTTCAACGAATAGGACTACGTCTTCAGCATATTCTAAGTCAGAAAGCGTGTCTCCTGGTAGAAGGTCCAATCCTGAAAAGTCGGACGATGATAATGTTAAGTCTAAAAGCATGTCTACGACAAAGTTAAACAAGAATGGGGAGAGTGGACAGCCCTGAAGGATACTACTTGAAGTAAGGAATTCCAATGACAGTTCGCTACAAGCTCTCACCTGATCAGTGGTGTTCGAGTAGAGAGCTTGTATAAGGTTGATGTACTTCTCTTGTCACCGACAACTGGATTGAGTGGTGTTGGTAGTTGTCTACTATCTTGTCGGGGCCTGCGGGATGATAGTAATCGATGGTTAGAGACCTTGAATTACATGGCTCAAATCCCTTTGCATCGGCGCAGGCGCATTCATTCATCGTGTTCTCTCAAATCGTAACCTGAATTCCTCATCACTTATGTCTTTTTCTTTTTAAGTTTATTTCACTAGATTCTACTTCTTGAATAATATCGTCGAACCCTAATCTCTCCGATTACCGCTAATATTTCTACTATCTCAACTACTATGGGATTCGAATTAACATTTACATCTCTGTGCTAATGTGGCATTGCATGATCAAATAAAGAAATTAACTATTTTCAAAAAAATGCATTTTCTAATCTAGTCATCACTCGTAATAAATTTTTTTTATTTATTCTTATTTATTCAGCTACTTTCAAGAGAACATGCCGTAGTTGAATTGAATGAAAATTATATCTATACTATAACAGATCTTGGTTCACTAAATGGTACAAAACGTAATGATTTATGCTTGAAACCTAAAATAAGCTATGAATTAAGAGATGGGGATTGTTTATATTTCGGTGGAATTTATTGTACATTAAAATTTTATCTTTCTTCATCCATGTCATCATTATGTCTTCCTAATACATCCTCCTATGAAAGTATTAAGTCATCGGAATCAGTTTTACAGGTAAGACTTTTGTATATTTTCATATATTATTTAGATATAGTTTATGGTTTAAAAATATCAGACTCAATCGAAATCTAAAGTCTTAAATTTTTACAATTTAAATTATGCATTGATCTTAGTCAGGCCACTGTTAAAAACTTTAAAACACTTGAGAGATGATTTATAATAGTGGGACTAGTCAGCAGTGCGTATCCACCTGCTGTGTATGGGCAGGTCAGACCCTATTGTTTTAGTCTAGCCCGTGAGCTGAGAATCAACGTCGTCAATGTCTGAATTCCACCAATTTACAATATTACACAACCGTAGTTTATTGCTTGTAGTGGATATCTCAAACGGTCACTGCTTCTCATTAGAACTCCAGGAATTGAGTACATTCTGATATATATCTAGATGTATGTGTGATCATTGTCGAGAATTCTCAACTTGGGGAGAAAATGATCTGTTCAGTGTTTTCTTTTAACGGTTCCGCTAGATGATAAGAAAACTGATGCTTTAAAACCTACATGTTGATTTGGAAATCGTAGGAATTTGTTTTGAATGTCAACGCACTGTAACGAAGGTAAAAGAGAAGAGTTTAGCTTAGGGTTTGTTACCCGACCATATAAAAACAAAACTTTCTTGAAAAATTAGTCATTTAAACCATATAAACCCCTAGGGGTTGAACGATTTTTAAATAGACGAGTCACGACACATCATTGCAGGCCACAAGGCCAGTATCCATTCTAATAATCAGAATACAGGGAATGTCTGGACAATGCATGAAACTGGGAGGGTCATTCAAATAATGGCGAAAATGAGAGGATACAACTTGACTATGCTTGCAGTAAGTGAGATTCCTTGAATACGATCGGGACAGTAAATATAACATTTAGGAGAAATGTTATATTATTCTGACTGACACAATACAGAAGTTTAATTACGGTCTTTCTTCTAGATACTGACAAGCTTAACAAATTCAACATAACCAGCTCTCAGCAACAAGTCCCATGACTTACAAGGTTTACTAGGGAAAAAGGAAACATTTATGATGAATATTTCGAAAGGAATAAAAAAATGCATTACTTTCAATTTGAGTGTTGAGTGTTAAGTGAACGTCTTCTAACTGAAATTGTTGTCAATACTAGGTTATAGAAGCGCATTCCTTTAAAATGTTTCAAACTAGGTTAGTACAGTCGCTAAATTTTCCTCGTGTTCTTAATAGTTTCCCTTCACTCTCATGAATATTTTCTTCTTTTTCTTTTTGTTAATATTCAGAAAATCAATTCGGATACATCTTGTCGCATTCAGTATTCTCTGACAGAAAATCGACAATCTGTTCAGTCGAATTTTTCATCTAATCAAACTAATGATGACAGTGATTGTTCAGTGTTAAGTGAACGTCTTCTAGCTGAAATTGTTGTCAACACTGGCGAAATTTCACATGATCTATTGCCAAATCCTGATCACTTCATTAATAGTCGCTCACCATCTTTATCGAGTAGCACAGATTCAGATGTTAAAAAAACAAAACTGACAAACTATGCAGATGATGTTGATCGACTGCAAGAAAATATGTCGTCATTTGAAAATAGTGAACTTCATATGCATACTGACAATAATGTTCATTTAGAAAGTGAATCAAATCAAAGTAAGCTAACTACTGAGTTCCAAAAGCTACTGACTTGCTTGGCTAAATCGGACGAAACATGCATCCTGGATTTCATTACTAGTCACTATCCATCTCTGCGAATATTGCTTGTAACCTAATAGGAATAATATTGAAACAGTCCGTACCGGATGAATATGAGTGACTCTATGCGAAAACCACCTGTTTTGGTTTAGGCACTCAGACAGTGTCTCAGCTCACTTCTACTCACTAATGCACTAATTTGCGTGAAACATAAATATTCAGCTGCCTAATTCGTGAAACATTTTGATCTTAACTTTCGGGATTTAAGAAGATGTGTTTATATTTACTGACGTCTCCAACTCTACCTCTCTTTTATTCAAACTGCTTATGTTTCTTTCACTAATTGTCTAACATACAAATACCGAATTACTGTTGATCTTAGTCGTTTCCTAACTTATTGTAAGGAAGCTGTATGATGTCTAATTCTTACTTGAGTTAAATGAATCAATTTTTTAAAAAGTAATCCGCCATGTATGACATTGTGTTTGAATAATCTGTAATAAGGTATTCACTACAGATTGGTAAAACACCTTTTATTAATTGATTAAGTGGAGAGAAAAGTATTTTTTTTCGCATCATGGATAGACGTTAGCTACACAACCAATAAAATTGCGCTCTTTCCTAAGCGTGAAGTTTCAAGTTTCTATCTCCGGTTGGCTCATTGTGCACACAATGATTGCATGATCGATTAAAATATCAATCCAGCACGTTTTTAAAATTGACCGCCCAGCATAATCCTCTCCTCTTAATGATCGGGATACATTTGTTAACTTATTCACTAGACCATTTCTCTAATTCCATTCTGTTGTAATTTTTCTGAATGAAAACAACGTAAAATCCAATTCCTGTTTTTATTTTTATTCCTTAAGATTCACTGATCACAGAATCTGTCATTAAAACTAAAGACTATATCATTAATGCTACCCCTTCGGACCAATTATCAATCAAACCTGTGAAAGATCACTTTACATCTCATGATATTATTTCTGTTCCGCCTATGATCTTAACAAATGAAACAGCTTCAACTCCTTTAACATACAATCGAACCAATGTTCTACTTGCGCGAGACTCAGATCCTGGTTGTATTGCTCAGTCGATTGATGATCATTTCGAACGGATTATTCGTTCGTCTACTTGTTTATCTACGGAAGAGTCAATATTGGTTATTGAAGAAAGTGATTTAATTACTAGCAATACCACTAGAAGGTATTTAGTTTATTCTCTTTTCCATCTTTTTTTAAAACTAGCTTGTTTTTGTCAGTATGAATTATTCGAATGAAAATTTCTGTACATAGAAAACAATACAGAATAAATACACAATTAGTGCTCTTGCAGTTATGAGGACGTCTGTCACTTCCCAGCTGCCCATACCGTGAAAGGGCGTTTCTTGATAAAACCGGAAAAGAAATCAGATCAGCGTAGGTCTGAGCAATCTAGGAACGTGACCGCAGAGCCCGAAAGACAACTGCCTGAGACGAGTCACGTACAACCTTTTTATCGGAGGTTTGTGAAGTATTAGCTCCGCTATTCAAGAGACCTTACTGCCAGAGACGGAAATCCGTGAGGTTAGGTAAGGTTGTGACATTTTTAGGGTCAACCTTTTCTAACCCTTTACTTCCGTTGTGAAAAGGCAGTTTCGCTGCAGGTGCTGGTTGTCCGAGGAAAACACATAACTGATGTCACAACCCAGTACAGCCAACAATACAACTTCGCCCTCATACCATGTGTTGCTGTTTTTAGTCTTACAGTTCTTCAGTCGACCTGACTGGCATGTTTAGACTTACAGTACCAGAAAATATGTGAAAGAAGACAACCAATAATCTGCTTGTTTTAAAAGTGAAACTCTGAAGATGAAGTGTACGTATTTTGTTAGTAAACAGTGTCTTCTTTAAATACACTACTCGGTCGTTTTATCATAATTCATAAATCATCAAGTGTTATCGATCTAATGATTTACCAACAGTGAGATCGTCAACTTTAATCTGATTCTCGTTATCATATTGATAAATATTACCCCATGGATTAACTCAACCGCTTGTGTTTATTGCATGCTTATTCAAATTTATTTTGTTTTTTTTTCACTGATAGAATGTTTCTATTCATCACGTAATATTGTGTTTATTATTATAATTATTATTATTATTATTATTATTATTATTATTATTATTATTATTATTATTTTATAATCAGCATAAACGAAACCAGTAGTCCTGGGAGAAATGAATCAATTCCGTACAAATCAGCTGTTGATTTGAACAATAGTGGTAATGATAATAATAAATTCACTTCAAATTTCATTGGTAAATCTACAGTTCAACAACATTTGAATGAACCGTTGATAAGTAATGATTGTTTGGAGATTGCAAGTGACAATAATTGCAGTCCAAGGAAATCACGAATATTCAATGGTATTTGTTTAGAAAATAATAAAGAGAGGATAGAAGAAGGAGAAGAAGAAGAAGAAGAAGACGAAGATGAAGAAGATGGCATGCAAGTAGGATGCTTTTTATCTTCATTGAATGTGTTTCATGCAATTCGAGCATATATATATTCATCACATAGATTGTTGTTGACATTATCGTGTAGATATTATTCTATTCATACATGAGTTGTTTGATAATAACATATTAGCTTATTGTATAAACATACAATAATTGATTCAGTGAATTTGGATCGCTTCGAAATGCAATGCCCTAGTACGGCGGAGAATGAAGAGAGTCCACTCACTTGCTCTTGACATACACTGTGATAGTCATGTGTGTGTATAGTCATTAATAGGCAACTCCTACTCTCCGCCTTCTCATATAAAAGGAGTTTCGTTTAAGAAATTCAGAGGATAAAAAGTGAGTATCTGACGCTTGAACTGAATTGCTAGGTAATGAAGGATTCATCGAGGCGTATTAGAAAATCCTCATTCTAAACCAATGGTGCGCATGAGCTTCATGATCGCCTGATGGAGTGAATGGCATATGAGCCTATTTTTGGTACCATGAGACTGTATCTCCTTACATTGTTCCATTGCTTTGTGGATTAGACTCGATATAGGTATTGGTACTTTGGCAGTGTCTCATCTCATCACTTCTTATAAATTCAATAAATTGTATGGTGCATAAACATTTAGATGCTTGTTTTTACCTGTGTTAATGTGTTTCACTCAAGTATTAATAAACTAAATTTAGATCATGCTTATTCAACACTCATCATTAAGGTATAACTCCATTCACTGACAGACAGATACTCGACAGAAGAAATAAATCTTTCCTGCTCAATTTCCCTATTTGACAAATATTTTCACTGTTTAAACTATTCGGAATTCGATTGACCTCATCACTTGAGTAATGACGACCAGTTTTGATGATGCTTACCTAATTCAATATTTCTTTTGTTATAATTTTTTTAAAATATTTTTCAGATAAAATTAATAACTAACCCCGCTTGTACCATCAATACCACGAAGAACGAATATTATGCATCAACCGATGCAATAAATAATCACGATATTACTTGTAACGATCTTGTAGTAGTAACTTTACAACCATTAGAAAATTGTCCCACAAATGATCAAAATATTCATATTGATTCATCTGTTAAAGTGAATGAAGTGAGTTACATAAGTTTGGTTATTATTATTGTGATTACTGCTGGTATTATTCTTAAAGCTTTTTTGAGATCTTTTCAATCAGTTTGTATTGATGTTACGATGCATTGCGTCAGTGAACTGAACGTAATACAGTCGAACTTTTCTCCTCCCAAACTAAGCTAGTAAGCAAGAGTAAAAGTGGGATATTTTTAATGTGTTATCTCTGCTTTTCAAAATGCCTTACCAACGGAGACAGAATTCAGTGAGCTGAAATGAGTGAGGTCTGGCAGTTTTAGTGTCGACTCGGCATCATTCCTTGAGATGCCTGTTGTCTGAGGGAAACACCTTTCTTCTGTCACACCCTTCTACAATTGGTAGTAAGACTTTGTCTACGACTCTGCTACGTCAAGATAGCACTCATGGGTAGGGATCTCACAACCTGACTTGAAACGGACAGTTTAAGGTTCATATCTGTGGCAATAATTTTAAAGCCGATTTCCCTTGCGTCTCATTTTTCATGACTAACTTTTGGAATATTGTAGCATTGTGATGTTAATTATTATTATTAAACTTTCCTTCTCATTTATTGCACTACTGAATAGTATTGAAAAATAAGCACGAAGATATGGTTAGATATAATTGTTAATCACTACTGTATATGTCAACACATTCTAAACATAAGATCTGTTCCGTTTCGTTAAACTTAACAAACAAAAATAAGTAAACTGTATTCGTATGAATCATTTACATTCACTTCAACTGAAGCAATAATGCTGATTAATTCAAAAGATCAATTGAGACTACTACTTATGTTGTATACAGTAGTATGGTTTGTTTAGATATGATTTTCTCTGATTTCATTCTTTATCTTTTAAAATAAATAAAGCATCATTCTTCTGATGAGAAAGCTGATATTATTTTATCCCAAGAATGGGGATCGGATATAATTCGAAGTGAAATTTCATCTGATCAAGTTCAATCTGACAATTATGGTGACTGTAATGTTAGCAAGAAAAATACCAAATCCAATCATTCTACTTTATCAGAATGTAATTTAGGTACAGATGATAAAAAAAGCGCAATTCCTAAACAAAGACGACGTGGTTCACGATCTAAAGATACATCCTCATTGAAGCAATCTGTTGAAAATTGTTCACACACTGGAAGACTGCGTTCGAATGTATCAAAAGTAACCAAAAATGATATATCTCATTCGATAGATTCACCAAAGTGTGATTTTACTAAAGAGGTTAGTTGTTTCTTTTTCTTATTCACTTTTGTTCATGTCATTTTGGTTCATTAACAATGAAGCTATGACTATGGTATTCAATTGTCTTATCAGCCAGTCTGTACGTCATCTGTCTTAAATTCCACTTGTTTCATTTTGTAGGTATAATTTTTAATATATTACGTTAATAACGTACATTAGATTGGCTTTTACTGTGCCTAATGTGAGATGCGGCATTAATTATGCTAAATCTTAGATTCTAAAGGTATGGTGGTAAACGTCACTCACCTCATGAAAAGATATTTTTTTGACGAACCTGAAAATAGTGATCTATGACTGCAAGACAAGTGTTTGGGACGCATTAGTTATGGTTGTTTGCTATTTCTTGATGTATTGAGCTTCATTCTTTCAGGAAATTACGTCTGGTGACTTAAATTCATCTAGTAAGCTGTGTGATGTTAATTGCATCGACCTTTTCTTTTATGGGAAGTTGGCGTCTATGGAGATTGTGGTTATTCGAGGGAAAAACCTTACTACTGTCAAAGTACAGTTTACTAGGCAGTACTATTTTGCCTTGAGATATTGAGTTTTGTAATTTTTATCCCACCACTCTCTAACCGACCGAAGATGCCTAGACCAGATGAAATAGTGGTGATTTTGGAGAAGACACAGTTTGCTTACTAAATATGTACATATTATCTTCAGGATTTTATATGCGAAAACAAGCAGATTACTGACTCTCTGAAAGTATTATCCACCAAAGTAGGATCAAAAGGATCACATATTTCAGCCGATATGTTTTTTAAGAAATTGACCACCCGACGCGTCCTATCAAGATTACCATGTATCGTTCGTTGGCTTGTTGTTGGCTGTTAATTACTGGTCGTTTATTGTTTTTTCTTTTTTCGATTTCTACACATTGACATTTTTTTTTCTTCCTTGCATCATTATTCCACAGAATGGTAATTTATCAAATAATAGAAATGACCATATAAAATGTTCACAAGAATGGGGCTATGATGTTAATCAAGAGTTTGATTCGAAACAATCTGATGTAAATAAGTGTGTACAGAATACTACAATGATTTCTGAACAGAAATTATCCACTAATCAAAACTTATCAGTTGAGAATATTCCAATCACCAATGATGTCCTTTTGAAACCAAAATTTTTATCATCAGAAACCATGCAGTCGTCTGATATGGTAAAAATATGTGTAAGCTCTGTAGTATATGTTTGTATGTATTGTTTTTATGTAAAGAAAAAAAAAGATGTTTTATACAATTTTCACTCTAATGATAATTCTTTTATTTTTAATTATTATAGTTATAATAGGCGAATGTTCGAACCTTGCAGTGAATGTACCTTCAATAATTTAACCTTATGTCTGGACGCACCATATCATTATAGGTTTCCTTACTATATATAGAGTCAACTGGTTATGCCTAGTGATATATCCGTATTAGTAAGGCTTTTTTTCAATGATATTTCAGGAATTCTCTTGCATGTTTACCTTCAAGTGCCTTGGTATGGTCAAGAGTGAGTAGAGTCATCTCTACCTTGAATTTATCTCATATGAACACTATCAGGGAAGTCTTACTCATCGCCTTCTCATTCAGTTGGTGTATTGTTTACGAAATTAAGAGGATGGAAGCGAATATCTGTCGTTTAGACGATGTCGACGCGTACGTAGTATTTAACTTGATTAGTCGGCAAACCTTCATTAAAAAATAACGGTCCATATGGGTTCCACTATCTTGATGGAATGTATAGCGTATGAACTTATTATTGGTAACCGGCTAATCATTGAACTACACCTCTTGACATTGTTCCATTTTCCTGTGGAATCGACCTGTTCATTAAAGACTCAGGAAGTTGTATCCTAAGAAAACTACCTGCTTCAGTTTAAGCTTCCAAGTAGCATTTCAGCCCACATATAAATTGACTGACTTGTGTGAAGGATAAATATTTAGTTGACTGCTTAAAGTGATAATTATATACGGTTTGAATAAATAAAACGATTCATCCAATTTAATTCAATATAAAGTTTAGAGTGCACGTGAGATTTGTTAGACCATTAGTACGAAACCTGGAAACCCTGGACAGATGTTTCGTACTGGTATGGGACTCATCAGTGACAGTGTGCTTCGGACCACTATACCGTCCAACAGTGAATAGCTTCGTCAGAAGTATGCTTGGAGTCCTAGTATGAGAAGTCCCGATCAGTGGATTTTTAAATTGTAATAGGTTTCAGTTTAGTATTGACACTTAGATGATCGAATTAAATTATCTTTTCAAAATGACAAAAAATGTCATCTACAGTTGATTTTAATTAAAACTAAAGAAATGTAGAAATACTTAGGTGATCTAATAAAAATGAATTTCTTTTTAATACAAATTATTATTTTTTTTCTAAAATACTAACAATGTAAATATCTTTTTCTATTTTCTTTATAGCAATCTCAACTCACACCTATTAATAATCCTGATAATGATTATAAACTCTGTCGTTACATTGAACAGTCTTCATTGATACGTTCGGCTAGATCATCAACACGTAGTCAACAATATTTCGAATCGATTAGTAATTATCAATTACCCGGTTCTTTAGGTATAATGAAAATTCCTAGAAGACGAAATAAAAGAAGACAACAGCCACAATCACAACAACAACGTCAAAGATTGACGCCAATTACTTCATCGATTTATTTGATAGATAAACATTGTAATATCAATGATAATAATAATAATAATAATAATACTAACCGATCAAGTCATGGTCAACATCATGCACCACATATCCCTAGTCCATTATATTTATCTGGAAGTATTTTAAGTGAAGAATCGTCTTCGCAATTAATCGATGAAAAATTAGAATCAATTCATCATGAAGCAGGCCATTCGCTGTTGAGTAAAAATAAGGCGTTCACTGAAACCATGCATAGAAATCATCAATCGTGTATTTTGCAATCTGCTGTCCAACTCGCTGGTTTTGATGAATCACCAGAAAATGTCAGTTGATAAAACCAGTAGAAACAATATTGTTTATCTCTCGTTTAGTCACATTTTTTTGATGTTTTGTTATGTATCAAGGAGATTTGTGATGGTTTGTGAAGATTTGTATTATTTTCATAGTTGAAATCATGAACTAACCTGAGCTAGATAACCATTAGAAACCTAAAAGCATTGAGCTGCTTATTCGACCTGATATGCGACTCTTCCGCAGTACGTATCCTTATCTACCTCACGCGCAGGAATTCTAATGAGAAGTTGTGATTAGTTTAGGGAGTTGAATCTTTGTTAGGCAGGAGACAGGTATCTGCGACAGGCAATCGATCAATGTTGCTCAACATCATTGATTGTTTGAAGTCAGACATGTACACTGTTCTGTGGTCTAGAAGTTAAGCGTGTGCGATTACGCTGGTCCTTGTCTCGACTCACGTGTGTAGCGGTCGTGGGTGAGCACTCTTGAGGAGTCCTATGCTGGATCACCATGCTTTACTTCTAAGTCTCTGGTGCTTTTCTAGCTCAGATTAGTTCGTGACCTCAACAATGAATGTAATTTTTGATCACTAAATAAGTGACTAAGTGTTGTCCCGACCGAAGCTGCTACCTTGACGTGGTGGTCGGGCTTGCCTATCGTGATGACCCAACCGAGCTATACTGGCTGGAACATATGTTCCTGCAGGTCCTACCATGCCAGGCAGGTCGATTGGAGAACGATGAGACTAAAAGCAGCTACCCAAGGTCTGAGGGCGAAGTCGTACTGCTGACTGCAGAGGGGTGTGACAGCAGTAAGGTGTTTCCCTCGGACAACCAGCATCTGCAGCGATGCTGCCTTCTCACAAGGAAGGAAGGGTTAGAAAAGGTCGGCCCTAAAAATGTCACACTCCCCCTAACTCACGGATTTCCGTCTCCCTGGGTAAGGGTGCCCACTAAGGGCCTTTAAGAACGGAGCTAATCCTCAAAATACATTTCATAAAAAGGCCGTGCGTGACCGGCCTCAAGCAGTTGTCCCTTGGACTCTGCGGTCACGCACCAACACTAATCCATCTTCCTTTTCAGGTCCCTCAAGAAACAACCTTCCACGGTGTGGGCAGCCGGGAAGTGACAACCGCCCTCATACCCGTACCAGCACGCGAGACCAAATTGGTCAAAATCAAATCCTTCCTACACCCCCTAATGTCTCTCTTATCTCTACGACTAACTCTACTCACACTCCCTTTTCTCACTGCACCGCTAATGCAGACGAAGTGAGATCACGAAACGTCGTTCCTGGTCTCTTGAAACCCCGTTCTAGACTACATATTGGAGCTTTTAATGTACGGACATTGTGTCAAATAGGGCAACAGGCATCATTAGCTAGGACTTTAGAATCTCGTGCCATCGATGTATGCTGCGTCTCGGAAACGCGCATACAGGATCCTAGTAAAGTCATTAACCTGATTTCACCTTGTCAAAACGTAGAAGCAGCTCGATTTACTCTTCGTGTATCCGGTAGCCCTGATGCTGCTTCCAGGGGTCTTGCTGGGGTAGGCATAGCGTTGAGTCCTAGGGCAGAATTATCTCTCCTAGACTGGATCCCAGTAGATAGTCGTTTGTGCGCTGTCCGACTAAACGGGACAGTAAGGACTCGTAAGGATAGGGACACTCGCCGTTGCCTCTTCGTCATATCTGCCTATGCCCCCACTGACTGCAGTGCAGACGAGGTTAAAGATGAGTTTTACAGAAAGCTTTCGGACCTCCTCCAAAAAGCTAGGCGCTCTGATATAGTAATAATGGCTGGTGACTTTAATGCTCAAGTAGGTAGACTAGGTGAAAAGGAAAGACATCTTGGTGGATGTTATGGTGTAGCGACTGAGAGAACAGAAAATGGAGACCGTCTGTTGCAACTATGCTCAGATAACCGCCTATTCTTAGCGAACACCAACTTTAGGCATAAGGAAAAGCATCTGTTGACCTGGCGACCTCCAAAGTCGTCTCAACGTTGGACTCAACTAGATCACATCGCCATCAGTCACCGATGGAGGGGTTCGATAGAAGACTGTCGCTCGTTCTGGGGCACATGTTTGGATTCAGATCATGCTCTAGTGCGAGCTCGTATCTGTTTAAGGCTTACTGGGCGTAGGAAAGACACCGTAAGAAAGCCTCTCAGGGTTTTACTTAATGATAATCAAACCAAGAAAATATTTCAGGAGGAACTAGGAAGAGAGTTATGCAACGATGTAAGTGATTCCCATCCAGAAGCAGGTTGGTATGATATCAAAAAGGCTGTGGAAACAGCAGTGATATCTGCTAGTAAGGTAAACCATAAGGCTAGGATGAAGCCGTGGATATCAGTCGCATCCACCGAACTGATGGATGCTCGAAAATGCATCCCACCTGACTCTGAGCATGATGAAGAGCGTAGTCAGCTTAGGCGCAGACTTATAAAAAGTCTGCGTAACGACCGCGAACAGTGGTGGGTGGCGAAAGCAAAAGCGATGGAAAAGGCTGCGGCGATCGGCAACAGTAGACAACTTTTCCGCCTTATTAAAGAAACTGGTATTAAGAACCCGAATGTGAGTGAGACTATCTCGGAAAAGGATGGTCTTATTATCCATTCTCAATCCAGGAGACTGGATCGATGGGCAGAACACTTTAGGGATCAGTTCAACTGGCCACGAGCCACTCTTCAGTTACCCACGATCTCCAGTCATCCTGAATGGCAAATCGACGTAAGTCCCCCTAGTCTTGATGACGTTGAGAAAGCGTTAGGAAATCTGAAACGAGGACGAGCTGCAGGTCCTGATAGACTGACCCCTGAGATATTTAAGGATGGTGGTCCAGTTTTAGCAGCTAGATTGACTGAGATCTTAGGTAGAATCTGGGAACTGGACGTAATCCCATCCGACTGGTCTCAATCACTGATTGTCCCAATCTATAAGAAAGGACAAAAGTCTTCTTGTGACAATCACAGAGGTATAAGTCTAACTAATATAGTATCTAAAATACTGGCCTCAATAATACTTCGACGCTTAACGAAAGCTCGTGAAGAGCAGACTCGAGAAAACCAATCTGGTTTTCGACCTGGACGTGGTTGTATAGACCACGTCTTCACACTCAGACAGGTCCTGGAACATAGACACACATTTAGGCGTCCTACAATAGTTGTTTTCCTAGACCTTAAGGCGGCATTTGACTCAGTGGATCGTAAGGTTCTGTGGCAGTGTCTGTCATTGAAAGGTGTACCACAGAAGTACATTAACCTTATACAAGCTCTTTACTCGAACACCACTGGTCGAGTGAGGGCTTATGGCGAACTGTCAACGGAATTCTCTACATCAAGTGGTGTCCGTCAGGGATGTCCACTTTCTCCATTCTTGTTTAATTTTATCATAGACATGCTCCTAGACATAACATTATCCTCGTCTGAATTTTCAGGAGTAGAACTTCTACCAGGTGGCTCGCTGATTGACTTAGAATATGCCGATGACATTGTCCTACTTGGTGAAGACACTGACAAAATGCAGAGTCTTCTGACTACCCTAAGCATCAATGCAAGCATGTTCGGGATGCGGTTTTCCCCCTCGAAATGCAAAATGTTGCTTCAAGACTGGGTTGCATCGGCACCTGAACTAATGATAGGGAGTGAAGTAGTCGAACGTGTAGACCGATTCACTTATCTTGGGAGTCTCATCAGTGCCGATGGCCTGGTGACTGACGAAATCTCAGCACGGATACAGAAGGCTCGATTGGCTTTTGCCAACCTGCGTCACTTATGGCGTAGGCGAGATATCCGTTTGCTGACTAAAGGACGAGTGTACTGCGCAGTAGTTCGCTCCGTCTTACTTTATGGCTGTGAAACATGGCCAGTGAGAGTAGAAGATATTCGTAGGTTAATGGTTTTCGATCATAGGTATCTTCGAAGCATTGCTCGTATATCGTGGGACACCCGAGTGAGCAACGCTGTTATTAGGAATCGGGTGCTAGGTAAGAATGGCAGATCAATAGATGAAGTATTGAAACTTCACCAGTTGAGGTGGTTGGGACATGTGTTGCGTATGCCCAACCACCGGCTGCCTCGTCGAGCCTTGTTTTGTAGTGTTGGAATAGGTTGGAAGAAAGTTAGAGGCGGCCAAACCAAAACATGGCAGAAATCCATGAAGTCATTGACTAGTGGACTGAGCCATGTCGGTAATTGTCGACTACCTGGTTGGGGTCCGCGAGATGATAATAATCGATGGTTAGAGACCTTGAATGACATGGCTCAAAATCGTTCGCAATGGCGCCGGTGCATTTATTCTCTGTGTTCTCTCAAATGTTAATCTTTTGGATTCTTCAACACCTCTAGTTTCGACTCTCTAAACTTATCTCACTGAATCATACTTCTTGAATAATATCTTCTAATCCTAACCTCTCCGATTACTTCTAATACCTTTACTACATCTACTACTATTGGATTTGAATTGACAATTGTGTCTCTGTGCTGATGTGGTATGGCAACATGAACTGATGTACTTATGTACAAAGTTCTACGTTGCATCTGACTGACTGACTGACTGACTGACTAAGTGTTGTGGTTTTGTTTTTTTATGGCACTTTGAATATTCTATCGATTGTGTTAAAATCCTACTCCATAGAATTTCTGACATCCTATCCATTACGTTTGAATGCTTAGTCAACTAGAAATTTGAGTGAAGTAGAATTATTAGTGATCTCAAGAGAATTGTTACCTCAATTAGCCTTACAGTTTGAAACGTTATCGTTTGAGCTCCTGAAGGGTTTGCTTTTACAGAGTAAATACAACTGTATAACTAAATAATATATTCGTATGTACACATGAGCATTATTATTACTATTATGTCTGAAGAAATGTAAAATAATGTCGTTTAGTTGTTTTCTGTCTTTTGACAATAGTTCGAGGCTACAGTTTCCAACGTGTTATTCACCAACAGATAAAAATAAACAGGTCTGTAGAACTGAAGGTTTTGACTGAACACTGATCTAGTAGTTTCAAGTAGTCAATGGTGGTCCGACCAAGATCATTTCGTGATTTAAACCATGGTAGTTCTAAATTATCAAATCGTCGTATACTAACAAAAGTTATGTGTTCACTATTGACTAACTTGTAGATGAAGCTGTTATGCTGAATATGAGACCATTATCAGTCACATGCAATGGATGAGAGTTAGGCAGTATCCTTGATTAATTTAATTCAAACATTATTATTGTTGGATTTTTGTTCAAAGGTCCAGGGGATAAACATGGCATTCGAGACTCAAAGTTAGATTTCCGGATACTAAGTGATGAGTTTTTACAACTAGAATCCCATACTATGACAAAACGACTGTTCAATGATCTCTGGTTTTCAACAGTGCTCTAACTAAGATTAGTTCGTGATTTGAGCTATGAAAATGCTACAACCTCCACAATCGCACTCTCTTTTTATACTAAAAACAAACGTATGCATTTAAATTGATAAACGAGAAAATAGGAATTTTAAAAATTTCATTTCGCAGTTGTCATAGTTTTGACATTTAAAACAATATTGATAGCTTCACATTTTAATATTTACCTTTTATATGACCAGTCAATTATATCATAATTTACAATATTCTTTTAAGATGATAGTATAAGTCAATATGTGATTACAAATAAGCTACTTAAAATCTACCAAAACGCCTTGCATTTACATACATATATGTTTTTTTTTCACTGTTGGGTTGTGGAGATTGTTGAGTTTCATGTGAAATCATGAGTCGATCAATGTTAGACTACCATCACAGAAAGAAACCTGGGACAGCACTGAACGGTCTCGAGGCGAAGCGTTAGCTCGTAAGATCGAAGGTCCTGGGCTAGCTTTCGGAATGTGCACTGCCACTGATCAGTCCTACATAATCAGACGAAACGATCGGCCAGTATTTCTAGGTGGCCTAACACTGGTCGATTTATGTTGTCAATATTTATACATATGTGGGTAATAAAAAACTCAATTGATAAATTTTATTGAACTTTTTTATCATTAAATTGTTTGTATTGTCATCAGTGAATGAAAATCTGTTTTATTCTAGTAGTTATTGTTGGTTGTTTTTTTGTTTTTGTTTTCAACACATCATCATAATTTTTCACATTTAAATTTAGGAACCTTTAATACACAATCAAACAGCTATTATTAATGAACATCTATCATTACCTTCATTTTCTGATCTTACACCTAATTCATTTGATGATAAAATTTGCATTAAAGTGAATAAGAATAATAACAATGAAAGCAATAATAAACAATTACCAATTAGTCCAATGCCTTCTACTTCTTCTATTTTACCGGTTACATCAATGTCTGATGCATGTAGACCATCACTTGTTGTAGTGAATTCAAAAAAACGAAATTTACGCAATTCATATACTACAACTCGAAGAAATGCAACCAAATCACTTGCTGATGGTGGTGGTGGTGGTGGTAGTTGTTCACTTAAAAATAACAATGCACATACAGATCTTGATAATAATAATAATAATAGTAATAATAATAATAATAATAATAATAAGGTAGTCAAAAGAAGGCAAACATTATCATCTATAGTGAAAGAAAAGAATCTCTCAATACCTACAGATAAAACAATGAAACGTAATTCAAGTGTATCCAAAGTTGAAGTGAATAATATGAATAATAACTCCTTGAAAACATCGATTCGACGATCTGCACGACTTACTGCACAGTCTGATAAGAATTGTGATAAACTGCCTTCTACTGTTACCTTACCATTACAACAGAATTTACAACCTATTGTGTGTATTCCAGAACAGTGTTGTAATAGTAGTAATAGTGCTTTTGTGAATTCGAGTCCACAAAATTCCGGAAAGAATCCACGAAGACGACGTATGACAACATTGTCAGTTGAACCGAAAGGTAAAACTCGTAAATTATCCAATACAGATCATCGTAATACTTCCTTAACATCTACTGAACCACCAAAAGCCGACACTGTGAGTTTGTTTGCAATATGAAACATGCTACTTTTAGATATATATTTCTTTATTAAAATGTACCAAACAATTTTTGGAAATATTTCCGGATTGATGAGTTTCCGTTTTTTGATCATCAGATGATATTTATGATGCAGTTAGTTACTATCATTCAAATTAGAACTTGAATGACTCCGCCTGGAACCCTTCTAGGATTACCGCTAGTTCCAGGCCTGGATAAAAGACGAAGGTTGGGTATGGGATTAGCGACCCCATCCCCCAAAAAACGCTTACTAGCAATGGTCGGCCATCAATGCTCCATTTATGATAACAGGTGTAAATTACAAAAAAAAAACTTGGACTTGATTCTTTTCTTTAAGTATTCCTATTTGCTTGGTTATGTAATTTTCTACTGTAAAGAAAAAACGAACTGTTAGATTTAGAGTATGTAACAGTAGAAATGATATTCAATTTTAAATTTATATGGGTTGGATGTCTTTCATTCGTATTTCTACAGATGCGATGTAACGAGGCGTAAATGAACTGCCAGTTTCATGCAACACTAGTCAATTTCTACACCTTTATTTCAATAGTTTCGAATCATCGTTCAATACTGTGCTTTTTTAAATTGCTGCTGACTGCAATTGATGATAAGATCTGCCATTTTTGAATATAGAATGATAATAATAATAATAGTAATAATAATAATTATCAATATGATCATAAAAGAGTATTTGGCGCTCAAATGCCCTGACATTGTTGAGAGTAGGGAATCTGCTTTTTTTCCCTTGAAATGCACATATATGACTATGTATGTATATCCACTAACAGGGAAGTCCTAATCACTGCCTTTTTGTGCAGGAGGGGAGTGTTGTTTGCAAAATTGAGAAGATGAATCATAAGTGTCCAGCGCTTAAGCTAGGTTTGTGGGTATGGAGGATCTGCCTAAGCGCGTTGAAACACTCTCATTCCAAACCACACAGACACGGTTATCCTGATGAATCTAATGGCATATATAGGCCTATTGTGGATTACTGGCTACCATAGAACTGTCTCCTCTTACGTTGTTCCACTAGCTTGTGTTTAGACTTTTGTAGGGTGGCCGCCTAGGAGAACCACCTGTTTCATTATAGGCACGTGAGTTAATGATCGTTTCAAACTACTACTAGTTTATTCTTATTTAAGCCTTTACAAATGAAAATGTGTGAATCAATTTGTTCAATGTAATCATAACAGCATATTGTTGCTATTTATTTTTCCACAGTCTAATCCTATTCATTTAATATTCAGTGGTGTTGAATCTTCAATTTATTCAAATATTTTAAAAAAATTAAATGTATCTGTAACAGAAGATCCTACAGTTGCTGATTACTTAATTACTGATCAAATTAAGCGTACCTTAAAAGTATTATATGCTAGAGCACGAGGTATACCAATTATATCAGTGGAATGGTTAAAAGCATGTAAACAATCTCGTAAGAGTTCGAATCCTGGTAAGTAAGTAAGTGAGTGGGTGAGTGAGTGATAGTTCATTTCTTGTTTTTCAATGTTGTTCTATGCTAAGCGTTATTTTTTCTGGAAATAATCATCAAAAACGTTTTGCTGGTTTACGCAGGTTTGGTCAACTTGATACAAAAAGAAATGTTTTATGTAGAACATAGATATGATATGTTGCATTGTTTTGGGCAGTACCTTTTTCATATCTTTTACCAAACATTCTGTTGATGTATGGACAATACAGTATGTATAATTTCCGATGGCATATCGGATTTGTTAAACTAATCAAAAACCAGAGAAAATAAAACGGTGACAGAGAACACGGAACAACGATAAGTTGATCGGCTCTCTCAGGTATACTATGATTCAAGTCTAAAACGATTTTATGTTTTCATATTCATGCTCGACTGAAGGCCACCGGTTCGATTCCCGCGAGCGAGGGTCGGGGATACGTACTGCTGATATATCCCTTACTAGGATAAAACGGTCGTCTAATGCTCCCAGGTTTCTAAAGGTTGGTTTAACACTGATCAATTCATGATTCCAATCAAAAACAACGATCTCAATAACTCTGTAAAACTAATAACATGTTTATTTTCTCAAGATCTGATTACAATGCCTTATTGATTGTGAAATAGGTGAATTGAAATGGTTTGAAAATGATGTTGTCAGTTGATAATTTGTGTTTATGCACATTCTATGGTAGGATATTTCTTTGTTATGTATCGAACTAGGGAATTAAACTATCAGTAGCGTCTCTTTTGGCGACCTGTGACCGTCAATGTAAAGTAAAAAAACACAGTTATTTATGGTCTGTCATACATGATATTGTTAAAGCCGTTTTGTCCACGTGTTATCTCTGTGTATTCAGGGCTTTACCATTGGCAATAAAATTGGTGAGGAAAATAAGTTGTGCTGATTTTACGGTCACCGACTTTTTCTAGCCCTTCCACCTCTTGACAGGAAAACAGCATGATTCCATATTAAGGCTTTCTGGAAGAATCATTACTGTCGTCACGTTCTTGTACAGTTGACAAGTATGATTTCGCTCTCAAATCTTAGGTTTACTTTTATTGATTTTAGGATTACCCAATGGACCTGTGTGTAGGATGGTAGAATGTCAGTAGGGTCATTAAGAAAGGCTTGCACAATCATCACACCATGCTAACATGTTAGGCCGGTTTACGATTGCAAACATGTTCTTCATTTGATTCAGACTAATAATCAGTCGTGTAACTATGAAATTACTTGCCTAGTTGGTTTGTTGGAGATATTTACGATAACATACTAGAACCAGAGAACGGAACATATAACCGTCAACTCAATAACAGGACGAAGCTAAGTTATTTCTCTTTGCCGCAGCTCAACTAAATAGAGGAAGAATTCCAAAATCAACAGGAAACGTGTAGAATTCCACAAGCAATAGCAAATAAGTAAATAAATATAACGTAAGTATCCTTGAGAAACGTCTTGCAATAGCGAACAGCAAACGAACTAATTATGTTTAAGATTCTTCCCAATAGTAAACACCAGCTGAAGGTAATAATGGTCGTTTTCGCCGCGAAAACGGGAGATTCAAAACTCCACAAATAACTTACAGAAACGTTAAGTCTACTACAACATTTCTTGGAATCTTGCATCCTCAACTCTACTATTTCGATTTCTCAGTGTATGTATATATGATAGTGTTTCTAGTCATCCTACTTGTTGACAATATTACTTACTTACTTACTTACGCCTGTTACCCCCAATGGAGCATAGGCCGCCCACCAGTTTTCTCCAACCAACTCTGTCCTGGGCTTCTCTCTCCAGTTCTGTCCAATGTTTGTTCATTCCTCTCATATCTTTCTCTATTTCTCGGCGTAATGTATTCCTTGGCCTTCCTCTTTTCCTTTTGCCTTGAGGGTTCCATGTGAGGGCTTGTTTCGTGACGCAGTTAGGTGCTTTTCGTAGTGTGTGTCCTATCCACTTCCAGTGCTTCTTCCTGATTTCCTCATCCACTGGAATCTGACTTGTTCTCTCCCACAGTTCGTTGTTGCTGATGGTGTCTGGCCAACGAATCTGAAGTATTTTGCGTAGACAACTGTTCATAAACACTTGTATCTTCTGGATGATGACAATATAACAATTATATATTCACTGATCTCACTACATATAAGTAGTAGTATCAGTTTTTATAACCAAGAAATGAAAGATGTAACAAAGATAATAATAGTAATGAAATAAACCAGTTTATTTGGTCATATCCAACCAAGGGAGATGCTGTGAGTTTCTTATCGGGTCAAAGCTTCGGATTCCTAATAGTTTATGCCATATATACAAGAGACAGGATGAAACCCCTTTGAGAACTCACGTAAGTACATGTTAGATCACTAAAAATCGCTCGGTTTAATCTATTATATGATCACAGTCAGTCAGATGTACCAATATAGATCTGCATATTATTTTCTTTTGATTTGGCTCTTTTCAAGCCATGCTGTAAGTTGTTCCCTGATTGGTTGGTTTAATTAACTGCCTAATACGCCTAATCGAGCTATCTCTATACGAGCAGCTGATTCATAAATAAATTGTCTTGATTAGTTTAACATTTTCATATCAATATATCATGTATGCTAGAGAGTAAATCATGATGACAATAATATGAATCGTTTCTGTCTATGTTGTTCTTACTTATATTGATTGTATTTTTTGTATTGCTTCAAATTATTTGTAAACTTTTTTTCTGTTTATATAATTTGCATGTATGGAATACTTTCTCTTCGACAACAATAACAACAACAACAAAACATCATAACATTACACCATTAGATCCGTTGAATTTCCAATTGCATTATTATTATTCTCATGATACACAGTCTATGCATAATATGATTTCTAATCATAGACAATCATTACGACATCGATCTTCTTCATTGATGATAAGATTGTCTGTTGATAAACAACAACCGGAACAATTTGAAGAAACAAATCAATTTCTAACTGGTTGGTCTTTCTATTCAACTCCGAATATTATACCATCTTCAATGGATTTACAAAAGCTTACAGAGTTTGCTGGTGGTTATTGGATGTCTGATGAAGATTTAATCAATACTGTCAATAATTACGACGCTTTGGTAAAATGTTTTGCTCTATATTTTTGTTAGTATAATAATACTAATCATAATAATAATAATTATTATTATTATAAATGAGGTGGATTTCTAGAGAAGTTTTATTCTTCTTAAAAGTTCAAAACCCGAACTGAGTTGCTTTTTCTACCTGATTTTGGACTTTTCAGCAGTCCGTATCCATAACTACCACACGCAGGAATTCTAACGCGAAGTTGTGATTAGTGTAGGGAGTTGAATGATTGTCCGGCAGAAGACAGTTATCTGCAGCAGGCAATTGATGAATTTCGTGCAACATCATGGATTGTTTGAAGTTACATATTAACACTATTGTATGTGAACTCCGTTGTCTAGAATTTAAACGTTTGCGTGCAATGTCAGAGGTACCGTTGAAGGTGTCCTATGTTAGGACGAGACAGTTATTCAATGCTTCTCACTTTCTAACGGTTTTCTTGTTCAAATCAGTTCGTGATTTGAACTATTAATATTTTAGTTGTGACTGCTTAACAGGGTGTGATTTTTTTTCACGGATAGATGAATTCAGAATTAGCATTAGGACCTAAGGTATGCATTTCATCCTATTAAGCATTCATCATGTTTGGTGATTCATCAGTAGTCTTGGCTTAAAACATCATACAAACTGGTGAAGCTAGACAAAACATTACTTACTAACTCGCCTAATTATTCCTGTTACAGCTAATAGAGCATAGGTCATCGACCAGCATTATTTCTTCTGGGTAGCGTGTTAATTTTCTATGGGGTGGAGTCGTTTATCCTATGCTCAATTCTTCTCTTTTTTGTCTGGGCTTTGGACTAGCAGTAACTCCATAAGTGCTCCTGGGCGGAGTTCGACTAATTGTTAACTGTCACTTTCAATTGAGTATTCTATAGATTTATGAAGCAATAGTTTGTTTCAGTAAATAATAGTTCTCATTTTGGCAAATTCATTTTTGAAAGCTGTAAAGTTGCAAACAGCTACATTGTTTCACATTGTGCTAATTTCCATTAATAGTTTTGATAAAAAATAAATACTCCGTTGCTAGCCGCTACAGATAGATCTCTGTTAAATATTTTCTTCTCCTACTATTCTGTTTCACATTGAGACAATCCTTTTGTTTCTCTCTCTCTCTCTGTGTTATTCGTATCATCAACTAACTAGCCTATAAAGTCAGTTATTATCACAACCAAAGATGAATATGATAATATGTTATTGTTAAATTCAAAATCATCTCGTCGAACGTCTCGACTTTCAAGAAATTTTAAACAATCCAACGAGAAAATCACACCAATTTTACGCGCTTTCTCTTCGTTTGTCATAGTCTCCATTGATTGGTTCTTACAGACTATTATGAATCGTAAACCTCCAATTTGGCCTATTGATTCACAGTATAAGTGAGTTTCTATTTGATTATTCTTTTATGAGATTACAACATAACTTAACTTTTATGCATGAAATAGGATTTATGGAGGAGTATTGATTTTAGTCAATTTAGAACAACCATACGAGCGAATTTTATTTAGGCGATCAGTTAAAACTAGACAACTGTTTCATACAACAACTCAACAGTAGTAGTGCATTTGTACCACATTTCACTGATTAGTTTTATTAGACAACAATTTTCACAAACCTATACTAACCCCAACCGTGAAATCTCCAGAGAAGAACAGAACAAACCTGTTCACTATTCTAATGGTCGTTTTCATCAAAATCATTTTGTGAATTAGATTTTCAAAGATTTCATGTTAATGTGTGTTTTTTCTTCTTTAATAGTTTAACAAATAAATATACACATTTTTTTCCATAATTGTATTATGTTGTTTCTGTTTATCTGCTACTTTTTTACAGATTACAATAAACATTCACTGTCAATTTCATGATCTCACTAGACAGAATCCAGTGTATATAATTAGCAAACTTGTTCAATTATCTCACCACTACTACTAATACTATTTATAATAACGAGTAGTATATTCGTAATTATTTTATTCCGCAATATTATTGATAATTTTCTTTATATCGATTTGTTTAATCTATATTACTACCTGATTTATTTTGCTTTAATTTTAATTGACTGCTATTGTTTATGTTCAGAAACCTATTGGGATTGTATGTTATTTTGTCCTATGTATTAGTCATTAAATAAGCAATTTTTTTCTTTCATTAAAAATACGTGTGTGCAGTCTTAAAATCATTAACATGTCGATGGATTAAACACAAATCAACAAGAATTACAGTTTTTTTTTTGCCTCACATGACTAGCAATATTTTATGCCTTTATAAATTGTATAAAACTCCCTCGAAGATTCTGTCGATTCAGTGGGTAAGTCGAGTTGTGATTTAACACAAATACTAATTAGTTTGTCCATTTTCATAATTGAAATCACGAACTGATCTTAGTTACTTACTGGTAGCACTGGACGGTGTGCGACATCGGTAAATGGGTAGATATTTTAGGAAAGAATACTAGTTCACGATCACGTTCAATTGTTAGTTCAACAAAATGTAATGATAAACATTACTCTGAAGAATTCATGAGCATAATAAATACAACGAACTATTTAGATCATGTCAATAGTCATCATTGTGATAGACAAGTATGTCCTAGTAGTAATAATATTTTACGACGTGGTAGAGCATCAGAACGACAACATCTCATATGTCAGCGACGAATTAATTATCATCAACATCGTAATCAACCATTGAAGCCAATATCTGCACCACTGACTAGAACATTTATCATATGAGAAAAATATAACATTTACCCATCAATTATATTTATCTCAGGAATCAAAAGAATTCGATTACTAACATTAAAGTAATTCTACCTATTTTCTTTTTACCCTATCTAATGTTTATAAAG